AGCAGGAAGAGGACAGACAGTAAGTCCATGCCTGCCCCAGGAGACGAGGTCAGGGACTGGGCCAGCCTTGTGACTGCCCAGGTTCCAAGGTAAAAATGACAACAACAGCACAGGAAATACTGTGGCTGCATCAGAAACCCCCAGGGCTTGGCCTTGCACATTGTATTTCTGGCCCAGCATAGGTACATTGTGCAAATTAAACAAATAAACAGCAGTCTTGGCCTTGAGCTCAAAAGACTTTCAACATTCCTCTGTTTCTCCCCCCAGCTGGTAGCTTCCCTGCAGCTCAGGCCAGAATCCAAGAGAATTCTTGGGTTATTCTTTCTCCATTCTCCTCACTCACAACACACACACACACACACACACACAGCAGATCTCACTACTTCCTCCACAGAGCTCCATGGACCCTATCTTTCCCATCATCTCAGGTCACAGATTTCCCCCCTGGGCATCCCGATGGCCCTCTCCAACCTCCACTTTAACAATGCCCACTGAGGTGCAGGCTCATCCTGTCCCCATAGCAGCTAGGGATATCTTTTCAAACCACAGAAGGATCCAGTCGCCATGCCTCATGGCCTACTTAGTACCCTCCACAGTCTCCCCTTCACTTCCCTCTCTGCTGAGGCCCACAGGGCCTTGTGCTGCTTGACTCCACTCTCCATGGAACTTCACTCCCCACCTGCTCCCCTGACTGGGCTGCATCCAGCCACACTGGCGTCCCTTTCTCTAACAATGCCTCCCTTCCTCCTGCCCTCTCAAAGGCATCTACCTCTGACAATTTTGTGTAGTTCTTCCTCGTCTCTAGGACACCTGCCCTGTGGCCAGCTTGTCCTCAGATAGGCCTCCCTGTCTGCCCACAGGAGGCTGGAGTCTTGTTATTTGCTTCCTCCATAGCAGGTGTCTATTCATCTGGCTTTTCCCTGGCTCTACCCCTCACCTGGAGGCACAGGGACAGGCACCACAACCCTGGTTACCTGTGTCTTGTCCTGGCTCAGGGTCAGGCACCAAGCCGGTGCTCAGGTAGTTTGTTAAGTGATTTGTCTGAGTGCCTGAATATATGCAAGGAAGAAGGAGCTCATCAATGAACAGAACCTGAAGACAAGCATGCTTCTTGGATGCTCCAAGATACAGTGCCACGGTGGAATAGGGAGGACCCCAACAGACACCCACCTATCAGACTGCAGGCTGGCTTAGAGTCCCAGAAATCCCCATGGGAACCTCAGAGAGAACTCACCTTCTCTCTGGGTGGCCAGCATTTTGTCTGTCCTTGTTCACCATAAGGGATAGGGAAATGTCAAAGTATTTTTCCTGCTCTCATGTACTCAACATAGTACACTTCCGATGCCAGATGTGGACGGGATTTTCCCCGCACACCACACTATTCTCCGGTGGTCACTAATTGAGTGTCCTCTAGTTCCACTCTGACGCTATTCAACTGAAGTTAGAATTGGATCCCTCAGGGTTAGAACTCCGTCCTACGAAACTGCCCCTGATATCAGACACCAACTTCTAATCAACCAAGTGGATATAAACTGGGGTTCCCATAAATCCTTCTTCAGGTTGACTAATTTGCTAGAATGGCACACAGAACTCAGGAAAACACATACGTTTACCAGATTACTATTATTATTTTCAGAGAGAGATTTTTTACTATAGGGCACATGCGCTCACCACAGAAAGAGACAGACATAAAGCGAGAAATCACCCTTCTGGGGGGATGGCCACGCAGAAATCCCTTCTCCTCCATTCTCCTCTTGGGATTTTGGGCACATACACACACAGGTGCCTAGCATGAGTTTTAAGCCGCTGGGTCTGGGACTCAAACCATGGTCAACTACATGAGAGTCCAGCAACGTAACCATTATGCCGACTGCTGGTCCCACCCATTTATTATTTTAGTAAAGGATATGACGAGGTTATAGAAGAACAGGCAGATGAAGAAGTACACAGTGTAAGGTCTGGAAGGGTCCTGAGCACAGGACCTCTGTTCCCATGGAGGTGGGTGTGCTTCCCAGACACGGACATGCTCGTCAACCTAGAACTCTCTGAATTTCATGGATTTTTATGAAGGCTTTGTCACATAGGCATGATTGATTATTAACTCGACCTCCAGTACTTCTCTCTCTCCAGTTAGTTGATTAGAAGTTGGTGTCTCACACCTCTAAGGCTGGGAGATGGAGGTAAAAGTCCCAAGCTTCTGACCATGGCGTTCTCCCTTTGGTGACCAGCTCCCACTCAGGAGTCCACCAAGAGGCACTTCATTAGAACAAAAGATGCACCTGTTTCCAGGAGAGTCCAAGGAACTTAGGAGCTCTGTGTCAGATGCTCACACCACTCTGGAAATGGCAAAGGTCTTAGAAAGTTCTGCGTCAGAAACCAAATAATAGAATGAAGGATGTGCCTAGCATCCCTACTTTTAGGAAATTACAAGGGTTTTAGGAGCTCTGCACCAGGAACCAGGGGCAGAGACCAAAGACATTTTATATGTATATAAAATGTATTTTATATATGTCCCCAGACAACGGAACCTGCTGACCTTGGTCTAGGAATTCTCAGTCTCTAGAACTGTGAGAACGAATTTCTGTTCTTTATAAAGCACCCAGCTGGTGGTATTCTGTTATAGCTGTACAAAAGACTAAGACAATAATAATCCCACTCTTGGGGAACCAGCAGTTAGCGTAATGGCTATGTCGCTGGACTCCCACGTAGTCAACTGTGGTTCGAGTCCCGGACCCGGTGGCTTAAACTCACTCCGGGTGCGTGTGCGTGCGTGCCCAAGATCCCGAGAGGAGAATGGAGGAGAAGGGATTGCGGTGTGACCATCCCTCCTGGGGGGCGATTTCTCGCTTTCTGTCTCTCTGTCTCTGTCTGTCTGGCGAGCGCATGCGCCCTATAGCGAAAACCTCTCCAAAAAAAAAAAAAAAAGAAATAATCCCACTCTCGCACACATGCTTGGTGAGCTCCTACTCTATGCCAGGCATGGTTAAAGGCACCGAGGATTCAACAGTGAACAGGCCTGTCCCTGACCTCACAGAGCTTCTGCTCAACAGGGAATGAACCCCCAGGCAAGTGCGCAAGCCAGTACAGAAGTGCAGGCTGGGCTAGCAGTGAGCAGAGCACCGTGGTGGAGATGCGGACAGGAGTGGGGGTCCAGCAAGTTCCTCACCATGTCTGCTTCAATGCCCTCTTCTATAAAATGGGCTAGAGAGGCAGTCCCCAAAAGGCTCTGATGAAAATAGGCTGGCCCTGCCTTCCTCTGTTCAAAACCCTGCAATGGTGCTGCCTCATTCCACTCTGAGCAAGAGCCAAGTCTTCACTGTGGTCCATGAGGTCTGCAGGCTGGTCTGCCCTTGCCCCAACTCCCCGACTCCTGCTGTGCTTCTTCCTGCTCCTTGGTCAGGCCAGACAACACCTGAGACAAATACTATCCACTTCTAGTCCATGAGCCGATTCCTGTAGTTGAGGGTCTCGCCCTCCCCACTGCTCACACACACTTTCTGCCTACTCCACATTAGGCCCACTGAGTGTGGGAACGGGCGCATGAGGGGTGGGGCGCTCATGCAAAGTGACATTCCTAGCAGTGTCAGCAACAACACAGGTGGCCCTATCAAGAACCTGCTTTCTTGTCCCTAAGTAGAACCATCCAGTGGAAGTGCCTGGAGCTCCAGATTTTTATTTTGGAGTGTTTGTTAGACATAAAACAATAAATAGGGACCAAGTGCCTAAGACGTACCACAAAACTCCTGTAGAGATTCATGCTGTTTCCTTTCCTTCCTTTTTTTGCTCTTCTCCCTCTCCCCACCAAACATCTATCAAGAACCTCGTGGATATCAGGCTGGGATAGTCTGGACAATCCCATCTATGGACAGCTAATTCTTTTTTTTTTTAAAAAAAGAATTATTTATTTAATTTTATTTATTCATTCATTTATTTTAATTTGACCAGAGAGAGACACAGAGAGAGAGAAAGAGAGAGAGAAATTAAGAAAGCAAGCTGCCAGGTCCGCGACTCAAACTGTGGTCAGTCATGTGGGAGTGTCCAGCGCCTTAACCACCATGCCACCCGCTGGTACCTATGGACAGCTAATTCTAACTGTGGCAGAATACAAAATGCCCTAAGAACCAGGACCTGCGTGACAGTGCCCTGTCCAGACTGATTCCTTCCAACCCTGAAATCTGGGAAGGTTTCGTCCAGGAGGTGGCTTTGAGCTGAACTTTGAGAGAGAAGCCAGATTCCAAGCTTGCAGAGCAGGCAGGGCTGACTGAGGGTGGGGGCAAAGGTCAGGGGGCGGCTTCTCCTGGCCAATCCTGCAGCCTCTCTACCAGGGGAACCTTGGTCAGGAGAAAACACAGAGCAGAGGGTGTGGCGTGGCTGAGAAAACAGCAGCTTTGCCAGAAAAACAACTGGGTGCCCCCCTGTTGGCAGGACAGAGGCTGCTGGGGAAGTGATTCCCATTGTTTCTGTTTCCTCGCGGGGGATCACTTGAGAGGAGGTCACAGGCCTGCTGATTGCTGGAGTGGCCTTGAGAGCACCTTAAGAAGTCAAGAGGGAGGCAGGATAGGAAACAGCCACCTTGAAGAAATAAAAGACAATCAACCATCAAACGCATTGAAATGGAATTTTGTAAGAGGCAGAAAATGCTTCAGACAGAGAATACCAGAGCAGGGAGGGTCCAGGCGCCATCGATTTCAGCCTCTACTTTATGGAAGATGTCCAGGCCCAGAAAGGGGAGCCGACTGGTGTGAGGCCACACAGCTGATTGCTTTCCTGACTCTGAGTGTATGCTCAGATTACTTCCTGGGGCTGAGAGCAGGCAGAAAGGGAAGCCTAAGGCCTTCTCCCTCCCTCTCATGTTAGCTGAGGATGGCTCCAAATTGCCATTCAGACAGGACAACCTGCCTGAGTGCCCGGGATGACCTCAGGGCCTAACGTCTTCCCCGGCTTCCAGGACAGGCTGCCCCCTGCCCCACCACTCCCTAGCCTCAGAGATTAAGGTTTGGGTGTGGTCTTCCCTGCCCATCAGTCTTGACGTCTATAAGGCCCAGGATGTCTGAGAGGCCCGGTCCAACCCCAGCCAATCAGGAGAGCCAACAGGGCAGGTCATGCTCACAGCAGAAGACATGTCTTCTGTTTTTACCATTCGCTAAGATCTAGTCATGTCTCAGACCACTGCCCTCTTCCCACCAGCCTCGCCACTCGTTCCAGTCACACTGTCACTTGGGTCCTCTCACCTTCGGCCCTCTACATGTTTCTCTCATCCCAGAACCCCAGTTGGACATCCCATTTTTAGACACTATTCCAAGGTAGGGTGAGGTGTCTCCTAAGGTCCTGTTGATTCCTGCATGTACACAAACCCTCGCTTGACTTTGTAATTACTGCAGCTGTACACAGCAACACACACTGCATTCTTTCTATGGTTTTCACTGTTGCGAGAATTAACTCATGTATCCTGTTGACAACCCTGCAGAGTGCTATTACCCCCATTTGTCCATGGGTAGACTGATTTGGAGAGGTGGAGCCCTTTCGGAGATTGCTTCAGCAGCTGAGAGCTGCCTCACCTATAGGAAGTCCTTCCCAGGGCAATCTTTCCACCGGCTGGTCAAGGTAGAGTATACTTGGGGCCGACTGGTGTGGCAGTTAAGGGCTCTGGACTCCCACATGGTCTACTGTGATTCGAGTTCTGGATCTGGCGACTTGCTTCCTCCCTGTCTCTCTTTTTTTCTCTCTCTCCCCTCTCTCTTTCTCTCTCACTTTGTCCCTCTCTGGTCAAGTTAAAATAAATAAATAAAGTTAAATAAAAAATAATTCTTAAAAAATAAAAAGGTATAGTGTAGCACTCTGGCCATCCCACAGCAAGTCGGTCAACCCTCAGAGCCTTCTAGCTTCAGAGTTCCTCATGGGTGGCCTTTACGGGCCTGCACTGCAGCTCTACTTCTTTCTCTACTCAGTCCTATTGCCTTTTCTTTGGAGGTCAGTCTCAAGACAACCCCTAGTAAATACCCTGTACACTAAACGCCAGTCAGTGACAGTCAGTCTGGCGTCAGGACACACAGCCATAACCATGGCCTTCAACTGACTTCCAGTGGAGCAAGCCCAGCATCTGGGTCAAGGCCAGCACACAGCAGGTACTCAAAACTTGCTTATTGAATAAATGAATAAATAAACAAATGAAGAGACCCTTTGGGCAATTAAGGGAAGTATATATTTGCCGTCTACGTTCTCAGAATAGCTATTACTAAGTAAGGAGGTTACTATTGTAATAGCACTGTGGTGACTCCCTGAACCCCTCCAGAGATCTTTAGGGCTGCCTCTTGGCACCTCAGGCTCCCTGCCTGTCCTCTGAACACTCCAGGCACCTGGGAGTTGGCTCTTGTGCATGTCTGTGCTACACAAAAGGTGAGTCTCGGTGTCTAGAAATAAGGCCATGGGCAAACTGGAAGGGGCTCAGGGAGGAAACTCCAAATTTCTCCCTGCCTGGGCTGGCTGGAAGGGACCAGAGGTACACACAGCCCAGTTGCCTGATGCCAGGGCTGTTCCTGCTATACATAGTCTCTTCCTGCAGCCTCTGGGACTTTGGCTTGTGGCCCTAGGGTCCCTGGGGTGAACAATGGAGGGCTGGCTCCAAGGTTACAGAATTACCAGTCAATGGGAACAGTAAGAGAGCTGCAGAAATCAGCCCAAGGAAGTGTGGCAAAATAACAAAGTCAATTCAACACCAATGACTCCGGGTCACACAGCCCTTCCCTAGACCAGCCCAATGTCCTCCTCCCCTTTGTGCTTTGACCATGACAAGTCAGCAGCTAAGCAACCTCAGCATCTCAGAAACCCAGAGCCTGATGGGATGTAAAGGACTCAAGTATTTGGGAGAATCTTTTATCTTTTTAAAGAATTATTTATGGGGGAACCAGCAGTTAGCGTAATGGCTATGTCGCTGGACTCCCACGTAGTTGACCGTGGTTCGTGTCCCGGACCCGGTGGCTTAAAACTCACGCCGGGCGCGTGTGCGTGCGTGCCCAAGATCCCGAGAGGAGAATGGAGGAGAAGGGATTGCGGGATTGCGGCGTGACCATCCCCCCTGGGGGGTGATTTCTCGCTTTCTGTCTCTATGTCTCTCTCTGTCTGGTGAGCGCACGCGCTGTACAGTGAAAATCTCTCAAAAAAAAAAATTATTTATGGGACCAGCTGTTAGTGTAATGGCTATGTCGCTGGACTCCCATGTAGTCAACCACGGTTCATGTCCCAGACTCGGTGGCTTTAAACTCATGCTGGGCACGTGTGCCCATGTGCCCAAGATCCCGAGAGGAGAATTGAGGAAAAGGGATTGCAGCGTGGCCATCCCCCCGGGGGGTGATTTCTTGCTTTCTATCTATCTCTCTGTCTCTCTGTCTGTCTGGCAAGCACACGTGCCCTATAGCAAAAACCTCTCCAAAAAAAAAGAGAATTATTTATTTTAATTTTATTTATTCATTCATTTATTTTAATTTGACCAGAGAGACACAGAGAGAGAGGAAAAGTGAGAGACCAAGCCACCAGGTTCAGGACTCGACCCGCAGTCAGCCATGTGGGAGTATCTGGCGCCTTAACCACCACACCACCTGCTGGCCCCCTTTTGGGAGTCTTTCTAATTACTTAACCACAATATTGGAATCAGAAATGCATGCTGGATACTGTTGATTGATAAGGGAAGGCCAAAGCACAGGAAGTGAAGCGAAAGAATTGTTTCAGGCTAAACAGGACGATCACCCAGACCTCACAATACCCAAATTACCCAGTAGTGTGTCCAAGGTCTTATAGATTTCAGGATTATTTTAAACGCAGAAAAGTTGCAAACAGGGAGAAACATTCATCAAAGTTTTACCTCGGTCAAGAGCTATAATAAGGAGTCTTGTACAGTAGTGATGAGCTATCCTATGAAAAGGGGAGTCGGGTGACCTCGTAGCCATTCGGGGTGAGCATGAGAGTCAGGGGGTGGGCCTCTTGTCCTAACTACTAACTAAGAATAAGGGACAACTTCAATTGATTGATAAGAATGTCCCAAACCAAAAAAGATCCAATGAGTCTTGACAGCATCTTGAACTATTTCTGGTGTCTTGTCTCAGAGGTCCAGCGTCACAGGGGGTCGTGCCCAAGTGCACATTCCAGGATCAGGCCCTTTCTGCATGCCTCAGTTCAGTTCCCTTTTGGACCCAAGTTAGAATAAATGGGCTCTTCGATTTTCTTTATTTCATCATGTGATTATATTTCAAACTTCTCTCTTCTTCGCAGTCACTGGAGGGCCCAGGGCCCAGGAGCCTGAGAGGAAATGGCAGGGGGAGGCACCATTGGCGCTGAAATCCCTAACTTCCCTTCCGTTTCTTCATCTATAAAATAATCTTCATAAGACCTGCCTCACTGATGTCGTTATTGAGAATTAAATAAAACGGAACATTACATAAAATCTTATGATGCTACCCTGCACAATGCCTCATGTACCTACCACGTGCTTAATGCATCTTGGCTCTCTGATCCATTGTGCCCCATAACTGTCACCAGAGGAAGCAGGTAAGATCAGGGGCTGGAGGGAGTCTAGATATGGCTCACTGATTCGTTAAAATGAAAACTCTGAAAGACAAATGGGTTCAACTCTGATTTTGTATGGAAGAATGATAGCTATGAGTAAAATCAGGATTAATTTTCTACACTTCTCCCAACTCTAAAGAACTCAGAATGCAAACGTCATCATCCTCAAGGGCCTAACAGTGGCACAGAGGCAAAATGCAATGTTCTGCAAGGCAATCTCATGAGAGAAGAATCCTAGTTCAAGGCTGGAGACTTCCCTGGGTATGCAGCATACACTTTGCCCAAGGTCTGGAACTGGTTGAAGTCTAGGTGTGGGTCAAGGTGTCAAGACCCTGTTTGGGGGGACTTTTTCTCTCTCTTTCTTTGCTCACTCATGAAAAAATATCCTCCTCAACAGAAAGCATCTCTGTTTTGATTCTCTGTGACAGTGGCAAGAATAATACCAAACTCACAGCTCTTTCAATGATTAAAGGTAAATATGTAAAATGTTTTTCTAATAGGCAAGTTTCCCTGGGAGAAAAAAAGAGGTTAATTTCTCCATTTTCTGTTTCTGTAGCGATTGTAAACATCTCTGGAAGGAAGCAAAACAAACAAAACCCCAAAAGACACACTCAAAAAAAAAATATTTTTCCCCTCCGTTATCAAGGACAGCAAGTTCTGGGAGTGCGGGGAGCTAATTTATGGAGTTAAAGAGCAAGTAAAAGTAGGTGTGAGCTCTTAGCTCTGTCTCAGTGTAGTCCTTCAGCTCTGACGTTCACGGCTGGTTTGAACCAGATACATTTATTTTGAGCCTTGACAACAGGCTATAGAAGAGGAGTCACCTGAGAAACACCTTTAAAAAAAGCAAAGCCAGTCCTTAAGGTGTGAACTCTGATCTTAATTTGTCTCTGGATGAAGCTGAAGGGTAGAGGGTGCTAAACTTTTCGAGATGGAGATCTGGCCTGAGGCTTCAGCAGTCAAGCCTTCGTTCTGTCCTGCCCTGCCTCTTCCAGCCTGCACAGCTGGTGCACCTGCCAGACCTTGGCCCTGAGCCAACCCGAGGTCTGAAGAAATCTCCTTTTCTCCCTGGCTATGATGTTCAGGAATGACTTGGATAAAACCGCCTTGCCTCTTAAAAAAAATTTCAAACCCACCATTTATCTTATCAAGTTCTCCATGAATGGTCCAGGGAGTGAAGAGATCTTTTTTTAATTCAAAAATGATCGGGATATTTAGCAAAACCATGAACTCTCAAATGCAGCCTCGACAGGGATGCTGACAGCATTATTAATTTTTTTCTTAAATTTTGTGTATAATTTTAAAAATATACTTTCTTTTTCTTTTTTTTAAGTTTTTTTTTAAGGTGTTTGTTTGTTTGTTTGTTTGTTTTTGCATAAGGCATGTGCACTCACGGAAGAGGACAGACAGAGACACAGTGAGAGGGAAAGTGAGAAATCATTCTCTCCCTTCTTCTCCATTCTCTCAGGATTTGGGATGCACACACACATGCCTGCCATGTTTTGTGTGCCATCAGGTTGGGGACTCAAACCTCAGAGTTGGTCATGTGGGATCCAGCACCTTAACCACATCCCACCTGTGGCCGTGTGTATATTTTTTATTATAAGCTTGTGAGGTGAACTGTAAAGTGTTCCAGCCATTTTGGAGGTAATGGCATCGCAGTATTAATTCAGCTTATCTGTACTCCTGAAGTGTCAGAAGCTGGAAAAAGACATCATGGGTTCAAACCCCCTAACAGCTGCTGCCTAAATCTAACACTGCAGTGACGATTTCCAGGGCCATGACCACTTACTTTCTGCTGAGGGAACGACCACTCCCGGGAGGACCACTGAAGGGTGCAGGAGGAGATGTGAGTTCAGATCTGCTTCCGAGTCATTCTTGGTCATGAACATCAGTTGAGCCTTCTCTGACAAGGCACAGGTGCTGGGCAGAGGGTCAGCAGGGGTGATTCCAAGGTGGCTGAAAGAAGTTCCTCTTTGGCTTTGCTCTAAGCCCAGCAGCAGCTTAGGACCCTGCCTGGACAGATAATCTAATGGTTACCAAGGACTCCTCCTCCCTATCTTCCTACCACCAAAACCTTCCCCATCACTTCTGTGAGAGTTTGGTAAGCGGGCATTGCTCCATGTACCCACCACAGGGCAGGCCCCAGCCCTGGTCTAGCCTCCCACCTTGGCGCCCCCTAGAGGCAAGATGCAGCAAACCTTGGGGAGCCAGCATGTCACAGGTGACAGAGGAACAGTGTGGCAGAACCTTCTCAGCTACTCAGGGAAAACGCAGTTGCCTGGCCCCATGCTAGGCTCTTAAATCCAAGTTTAAGGTTCTAGAGATTTTAATTTTTAACAAACACATGAACTGAGGCTCCTACGCACTACATCTTACTCTGCTGGACTTTCAAGAGAACTGTCCTTTTATCAGCCAAACAGAGCTCCCCAAAGAGACAGTGTACCTCTCTCCCCTCCAGCCTGAGGGAGCAGCCCTGGGCTCCCATTGGATTTCCAGAGAGGATTCAATATCCTGACTCGACCAAGTCCTCAGCCTTGGCAGGCTGCTTCAGGAATCTTCTTTAGACAAGGCTAGAAAGTAAAGGAGGAAAAGCCCTTCGCACACAGAAACATTACACAAACTGGGGATTTTATTTACACAGTAGGGCTAAAAATAATATAAAAGAAGCCTCTTGGTCACACACACAGAGGAAAAGCTCTAAAAGTCAATCACCAGTGGGTACGGGCCCTGATATTTTAGCAACGACAACACAAAAACAAATTGTGGAGGAAGAAAAGGTAAAAGGTCATCTGTGCCGAGATTGAGGTTCTCAAGTCCAAGAACCACACAGAGGCTGTCATGAGGGGCGGCTGGTCAGGCTGATGACAAGGGGAAGTTTATCTTCTGGGCATGTGACCCTGATTCCCAGGGCAATCCGGTAAGGTTTTGACTTTGGACATTTCTGAGTCAATTCTTAACTAGACTGAGAATTTCAGGGCCACATGTGCTTGACCTTACGGTTTGTCCATTCTGGGAGACAGACATGAGGAAGCTCTTCCTCAGGCACATCCCTAGGAAAGGGAAGCAGGTCTTGGCACAGCCTGGGGTCACCTTCCACGTCGTCATGAGGATGCTGGGTCCGTTGGCTCGTCAGCATTGCTAGGTCACTGCAGAAGGCATTCTCCAAACTTCTTGTCCTTATGTGCTAAGACAACAGCCCCCCAGGGCACCCTCTTTCCCACTAACTATGCTTTCTCTTCCACTTGCAGCTTTCCCCCCTTCTCCCAGGCTCCCAATGTTCTAGGCAGGCTATATAATTACCTCTCATGTGTGAAAATGTGCCATTCCCAACTTTCGCCACACGGGCTAAAACAAGATCCTTTGTTCTCCTTTCATCACAAATGTTAATGATGCAGAAACTGGGTCCCAGGTCATCAACAAAAGGAGCCTCCAACAGGGGGAGCTGACTCTCCTCCACCTATTCCTTTTTCTATGCATCTGTCTGTCTTCCCACCTTCTCCACCTCCCAGTACCACCTGGTTGGGCTTGATCAGTGGTGCACAAGCCTTAGAGGCCTCCCCTGCATGCCCTAGGAAGGCCCCGGGGCAGCAGGTAGGCTGGTGCTGCAGACCACTCTGAACTTCCAGATTTTCTGTCGGAGCAGTGGCCCATCACAGGCTGGCAGAGGGAATGTAGGCAGGACCTTCTCTTTCTTTCACTTCCTGCCCAGTGTCCAGTGCTAGCCTGTGGCCATCATCAGTGGGTGTCAGGCCCACCTATGTCCACTCTAACCTTTGAACCTAGGTGAGATGAGGCCAAACTGTGCAGCCTGTGTGGGCTCAGGGGCTTCGGAGTGTTTGTAAGCACCAGCCATGACACCTCCCGCCCTTTCTCCTGGCCCTACCCGGCCACCTAAATCCCTCAGCACTGATCTTCCAAACCAGTCTCTTACTCCCTTCAACATCCTCTTGCCTTGTTTCTACATCCGTCACACCTGTCTCCTACTTACAGTTCCTTCTCCACAGCCACTTTCATTCCCAGCTGTCACCTCTCTCGGTCCCTGTGTCCCAGCACAAAGCTCCCCAGTCGGCCTGGCTAGAGAAGGCATTGAGCAGCTGTCAAGTGAGCTGATGCCCACAACCACAGCCAGCCACACGCTTCCAAGGGGAATCCGGCCAGCCCCAAACACAACGGCAGGGCACAAGAGCGGCAGGCACGGCCCTCAGACAGCCTGCCCCAGCCATCCGGCCTGCCTCTGAACTTGCCCTTCCTCCCTCTCACATCGCCAGGGGCACGTTCCTGCAGAGATGGGTGAAAATGACAAGCTTTTATCCCTTTAAGCAGCCGGGACACAACTGTCAACACAGTTTTCAAAATACCGTAGCCTTCAAAGAGATTTTTTTTCTTCCTTCCTTCTCAAGCCTGTAATTAAACTCCTGGTGACAGAGCAGGGGAGGAAGGAGATGGCAGAGAACAGCTTCAGAAATAAACAGCTCCTTTGCTGCCTCTGAACCAAGGTGGCCCAGGACTGTGAGTGTCCCTGTCAGCCCATGACCTTTCGGGGGGAATGCAGCAAATCACGTGACTCCAGGTCGACATCTCTTAGTCCTCAAATTCACGCTCTGCTACCCACGTTCACTGCTCTAACCTGTGCAGGGTTTACCTGCATCTACACCCCTGCTACCCCCACATGAAGGCTCTGGCTTTGGCAAACTCATCCTAATCCCAAACCTAACCTCGGCCTAATTCTCTGCAGAACTGATCATCGGATCCAGCCGTGTCTGAGAAATGTGAAAAGCTTAGCAGACGGGCAGGGGTAACTCATTCATCACATTCTTCCGATTCAACAAAGAAAGGCATTTTTTTCCTCTTCCACGTATTTTGAGAGTTCAAGTCTGAAACGCTCCTGATTCCCACCATTCCTAGAGCAGAGGCTTCCACTCGTCCTTGCAGCTCCAGCCCACAGCTCCCATCAGCGCACGAGGGCTACCACGCTGGTGGCCACTCCAAAGGGAGCAGAGTAGGCCGCGGCGAATCCTTGTAGACCGATGACGATGTAGCGGCAGCCTTTGGTGATGACCTTCCCGACGTTCTATTTTAGGAACAGAAGAGGAAAGGGTTAGGTTAGGCAGCTTTTGAATTCTTCCTTGAGTCATAGTGACACATATAAAAGTCATGTGCCTTATTCTCCGGGGGAAGATTAGCATATTCCATGTCCCACGCCCGCCCCCGACCTAAGAACATGTGGGGGCTCAGCACAGACATCATCCCCTGGCAAAGTGCTTTCCAGCACAGTGCGTTCCTGGGTAACTCGGAGCATCTTAGAAACAGCAGGGAGGCTGCCAGTTCTAAAACGAAACATCAGTTTAGTCTCTTTCTCAAACCAAAACCCATACCTCTTCTCTGTTCCAGCTGACAGTTATTGGAGGATCTGAAAGCCAGGGCGGTTTCTTTCATTCTTCTGAGAGCCCATCCATGGCCCCCCAACATCAGGGCTTATTCCTGCCTGCCCCTCACATTTGTCCCTCTGTAGTCTTCTGCCATTCTCTAATTGCCGCAGCCATTTAAGTCTTGTGTGTCCGACACAGTTATAAGCTCCTGTGGGTAAGGACTGGGCCAGGTTTTCTTGATGTCTACCCCTTTTCTTCTTTGCAAGACCCAGGGCTGGACAAGGGAGAGTTAAGGGATTCTAATGGAATGGCAGTAGAAAAATGAAGGACGTCACCAATGACTAACATCTATGCAGCTTTGCTCCCGGATCTTCCTCTTCCCATCGTCAGCCTCTTTTTATTTGTTTGTTTGTTTATTTATTCAATGTGCAGGTGAGCAAGAGACAGACAGACAGACAGACAGCACCCCACAGAGTCTTGGCTCTGCTATCCATCCCCAGCTTCAGGCAGCCCTGAGTCCTGGACACACATGTGCCTGGAAGACTCAGGGAGGTCTCCCAAGCAAACCTGGTGTCTTCCCATGTGGGTCTTCCTGGCAGAGCATCACATTTGACTGCTGTGTACCCTCCGCACCTGCCCTCAACTTCTACAGCATGCCTAGTGACGCCAATGTCCTTGCAGATGACCTGTGCCTCATCTCACATGGCGTGTCTCTCGGCCCTTTGACTTTTCCAACTACAATAATCGCTCAGGCTGGTTTCACTTAAAATTCTTCATCCCAGCTGCAAACTTTTCTTTGACTCCCAACACCACCAACAAACCTACTGTATCTGTCTAGAAGGTTGGCCATCCTTTTCTCTCAGCTATGACCTCATACTTTTCCTTTCTCTTCAAGCCTCCCCATCCCCAACACAGGCAGACACACATCTCCACACCTTTATTACATGATCCCACTTCATCCCTCACTGAAAAACATCAGACGTCACTGAGGAGCTCATTCATTTTCTCACCACCCTCTACAGACCTACCTGTGCCTGCCCTGCCTTCTCCCACCTTGCCTGATTCACTGGGGAAAATTGCCTTCTTCCCCAAGGCTGTTCCCTTGACCCTCGCTCTCTGTACCTCTCTCACCTTGCCTTTGGCTTCGCCTTCTCCAGCATCATCGCTCTCTTCCTCGCCACTGGATCATTCCCATTAGCTTACACACATGTTCAGACACCTCCTTGGCTCTGCATCTGCCCCAGGCCTCTGCTCTCCCTCATGAAGCCCACTGAAAGCCCATTCACACATAGTCTCCACGGCCACACTTAGTCTCTCCTTCTCTGGGTCCTACTCCCACCCATCCAGGGACGGCGTGGTCATGGCCACCTCCAACCTCTATGTTGCCTGATCTGATGGACACTTCTGTCTCCCCCCTCCCTGATTTCTCAGCAGCTTTTGATACACTTAATGAAATAATTATTTAACCTCTTTGACTCTATTCTCTTGATTCCCTCCGACACCGGGAGATCTTTCCCAGCTTCCTTTGCTAGATTATCTCTTCTACTAAACTTTATAACATTGGAGTTCTTCAGGTTTCAGGTTTGTTCTCTCTCTCTCTCTCTCTCTTTTTCCCTAAAAATCTCTCCTCAGGTGGTCTTGCCCATTTCTAATGACTTCAAGTATTTCCTGGATGCTGATAACTCCTCAGCTCAGACTCATATAGTCAATGCTCTACCTCAGATCACTCTTGGAGACCCTTATAAGTAATTTCTCTAGCACTCACTCTCTCTCTTTGTGTCAAGCAATAAACCTGATTTTGGTTAGCTACCAATATGTTTCTGGTGGCCTTTGGCTACTGGATTTCCATAAGAGAAAAGTATAGATAGAGAGGTTAAATTTATCCAAGTTGGATCAGGTGATTAGGATGGCTGGATCCCACATGGCTGACCACATGGTTCCAATTCTGGACCCAGTGGCTTGATAGACATGCCAAGCACGTGTGTGAACCCAAAATCCTGAAAGGAGGAAGACATAGAGGAAAATTGTAGCATGAATATGCCTCATGGGGGGGGGGTTCTCTCTCACTCCCCCAGCACACATGTGCCCTCTGGCAAAATTTAAAATAAAATGATGCAAGTTGAGATGAGCAGGTGGTATAGGGGTTAAGGCAATGGACTCTTATATGGCTGATCATGGCTCAAGTCATAGACTCAGGGGCTTGAAAATCATACCAGGTGCATGTTCATGCATACCCGAAGTCCCAAAAAGGGAATGGATGAGATGGGAATGTGGCGTGCCCATCCTCCCTGGGTGGTGACTTCTCACCTTCCCTCTTTCTATGTCTCTCTGTCTCTCTCTAGCAAGCATACTCACTTTATCGCAAAAAATGTAAAAAAAAAAATGCAAAGAAAATTATCCAAGTTTATAATAGCTGCTAAGAAGCAAAGAGCATACTCACTTTATCGCAAAAAATGTAAAAAAAAAATGCAAAGAAAATTATCCAAGTTTATAATAGCTATGAAGCAAAGCTGAAGTTCAATCTCAAAGAAATCTCAGCTTAGAGCCCATAGACTTAATATCATATTACAATTTCTTTCTTTCTTTTTTTTTTTTGGAGAGGTTTTTGCCATAGGGCGCGTGCGCTCGCCAGACAGACAGAGAGAGACAGAGAGATAGAAAGTGAGAAATCACCCCCCAGGGGGGATGGCCACGCCACAATCCCTTCTCCTCCATTCTCCTCTTGGGATCCTGGGCACGCACGCACACGCGCCCAGCGTGAGTTTTAAGCCACCGGGTCTGGGACGTGAACCGCGGTCGACTATGTGGGAGTCCAGCGACATAGCCATTACGCTAACTGCTGGTCCCTAATTTCTTTCTTTTATATTTCATTTTATCAGATTTTTGCCATAGGATGTATATACTTGCCAGAGAGAGATAGGGAGAGGCAAAGTGAGACATCGCACACTGGGGGATGGCCACGCTACAATCCCTTTTCCTCCACTCTCCTCGGGATTTTGGGCACACACACACATGCATCCAGTATGATTTTCAAGCCACAGGGTCTGAGACTTGAATCACGGTTGTCCATGTGGGAGTCCAGTGCCTTAACTATCATGCCACCTGCTGGCCCTAGACTTTCTTCCTTTAAAGAAGGCAGTAAGGAACCTTGTGGTTAACTTGTCATAGTCTGGGCTTGAAGTCTAGCTCCACTTAACTTTCTGTGGCCTGTTTCCTTACCTACACAATGGTAACCCCCTACTGGACTGTTAAGAGGATCATATGAGTTCAAGGAAAGCACTTAGAACAGTGCCTGGAATAACTATAGGCAGTTTAGGTGCCCCCACAAGGTCAGCTATTAATGCCATAAAATCACTTTTGCTTCTTTTTATTATACAGTATTCATATTTGAGATGGTAATATATAAATTCAGGATTTCTTGTTATCTGATTAGGAAAGTCAGTTTTTCTTCTTTTCGTTCTTTTTCTTTCTTCTTTCTCTCTCTTTCTCTTTCTCTCCTGTCTTTCTCTCTTTCTCTCTTTTCTTTTTCTCCTTTCTTTCTTTCCCTCTTTTTAATTGCCATCAGGTGTCTTCACTTACCAGAGAAAGACAGAGAGGGAGCAGGGGAGAAAACAGTCCCAATAAGGTGTGGTCATACCACCATCCGGTCGCCTTCATGTTTTCATCCTGTCAGGATTTAGGGCACACAAGCTTCCTTGGCAGAGTTTCAACCAAGGTCAGCCATGTGGGATCCGGCTCCCTTCATTACTAGGCTACGGGGCTAGCCTGGGACGTTTCTTAAGAGTACAGTTTCCGGGAACCAGCAGTTAGCGTAATGGCTATGTCGCTGGATTCCCACGTAGTTGACCGCGGTTTGCATCCCGGACTCGGTGGCTTAGAATTCACGCCGGGCGCGTGTGCGTGTGTGCCCAAGATCCCGAGAGGAGAATGGAGGAGAAGGGATTGTGGCGTGACCATCCCAGCTGGGGGGTGATTTCTCACTTTCTGTCTCTTTGGCTCTCTCTGGTAAGTGCACGCGTCCTATAGTGAAAACTTCTCAAAAAAAAAAAAAAAAAAGAGTACAGTTTCCTTCGATCTCTGGTTTACTCAAGCTTATATTACAAGGTTTCCCACCATAACAGAATGAGGGTGGGGATCCTGTGGTGCTCATGACCTCATGCCCAGCTCATAGACAGTGCCTGGTGTTTCCTTTGGTACAGCTCAGGCTGAGGAGTTTGGGAGAAACAGGTAATGTCCATGCTTACTCCTGACTTACTCTAGACGCTGCTTCTCTGACCCTGCCCTGTCAATTTCTCAGTGACATTGGGACCAGGGCATGCATGTCAGCTTGGGTGTATGTGTACATGGGTGTGTGAGTGTAAGATGTTGCTCAGACACATTTCTAAAAATGTGTAAGGGGAATCATTGGGAGAATGTTACATGTTTGAAAGAAGAAACCATTCTCTGGGAGCAAGAATAACAATAAAGAATGATCGTTAGAAACAGTACCATCAGAATCACAATTGCCTATATTAAACTTGAGATTAGGGACACTCATACATTCGTTTCTTCAGGCTGCTATTTTAAAAAATTACTTGTCACTCCATCTTTGCAATTTTTGGGAAAAAAGCCTACTAAAATATCTCATTAACTGGAACACTGTCAAGGCAGATTTCAGAAATGAAATGCAAGGAATGTAAGATATCTATCAACAACCATTTCA